GCGCCTACTGTGCTAGAGCCCCTGCTACAACCACATCAACCTCAACGTCAACAACAGCGGTGGTGGCGGAGGGAACGACTGAGGTGTGGAGCTGCGGGGAGGTGGCGGCGGAGTCTGGGAGCAAGCCGCCACCGCCGCCGCCGCCAGGGCCTCCCGCAGGGCCCCCTGGATCTCCCCCCCCCATGACCACCTCTGATCAGGACCCCGTGACGGCAACCCAGATGGGACCAGGGGTCGCCCAACAACAACAACAACAGCGGCAGCAGCAGCAGCACGAACACCACTACTGCCCACTTGGGGCAGATCCGAAGGCTACTGCCAGCCCCACCACCTCTGGCCTCACCCCCACTGCTGCCGCCTCTTCCTCTTCCTCCCCTTTCCCCGCCCCCTTCCCCGCCCCCGGTCCGCTGGTGCCGCCGGCGGACCCCCCGCCTCATGGGGGCGGCTCCTGCTCCTGCGGCTGCTACTGCCAACAGCCTTAGTGGGGATCTGGTCCCCGACCCCATACCCCCCGCATTGTTGCTGTGCGTCTCTGGCGGCCGCAGAGGGCCGCGGGGTTGAATTCGATGCTGTCGTGTAGCTTTCCCTCCCCTCCCCTCCCCTCCCCTCCCCTCCCCTCCTTTTGGGGGGAGTGGCCGCATTCGGTGCTCCTGCAGCGGCAGCTGCTGGGGGCCGTCTAAAGTGACCTGGACTGAAAGCCTCTGGGGGCGGGAGGGAATTGTGCGAAAAAATCTTGTGTTGGAGTCTCCCTGACTCGCCTGTCTGCCAGCTGCGTGTATGCATGTATGTATGTGTGTATATCCGCACGCCGGTGGAGGTGGTGATGGCTGGATGATGATCAACACATATATAGTTGATGACTTCTTCACTCTTTTATTAATTTATTGTTTGTGTACGTGTAGTGTGGTTGTGGAGCACTCAACTCGTCTAACCTCGATGCGATTTAGATGTGAGCTGGTTTACTATATGTATGTAGTCTGTGTATGTATGTATGTATGTATGTATGTATGTATGTATGTATGTATGTATGTATGTATGTATGTGTGTATGTGTGTATGTGTGTATATATGTATTTTGTTGTTGCTCGTACCAGCTAGTGCACCTCGCCCTTACTCGTATATGATGTATGCACACTGCACACTGCATGACATGGCGGTGAAGGTGGTTCTTAGATTCAGCTCAATGTGTGGCATTCCTTCATTTCGTAGCATCATGGGCGTACGGACGTACGGATGTACGGACATGTGGCAACTTGAGGCTCTGCCCCCACACCCGCGGTTCTGTGATGGGAACGTGTTTTATCAAAAAGGGGGGGAGGAGGAGGAGGAGGAGGAGCGGCGGCGCCAGGGGAGCTTTGAAGTCCCATGCGGGTGCAGTGCAGAATGTTTCCGTAACCTCCCTTCCCCCCCACCCTGGGCCCCCGCGCCCGCCTTGGCAGAGGATTTCCTTCGTTTCCTCCCATTCCTGGCAGCGGCAGTGTTGGTTACTGATTGGTTAGGGTAGTTTAGCGACTTTCTCTTCGTTGCAGCGGCGTTATCCGGCCCCCTGCCGCCTGCAGCACTGCTACCATTGCTGGTGGTTGTAGGAATGTTCGTTCGTTCGTTCAGTTACGGAGGTCGCCGTGAAAGGTCAGATCGGCCCGGTGGGTGTTTGGGGCGCTATGTGGGCGTGGCTGCTCCGGAACCGGAGCTCTTAATAACATTTCCCCCTCCCACCTCGGATACATACATACATACATATACATATAATATTAGGGTTTGGCACCACTGGTAAGGCGCGACCATTGCCCCCGGTAGATCCCGGAATCGATACCCGTTAGGGTCAAAGTCCTTCCGATGGTGGAAGGCATTGCGCCCCTAGTTGATGGACGGTGGTGACCTGGGATAAAGTTAACCTGCGAGCCGACCAGGAACGGGGTTGGGCCGCTGTCGACCCGGCAGATTCCGTTGGATGCCGGTGGTGGGTGCGGAACCTGAGCGATCCACTGAGAAGTTGCCTAGGGTGGCTAGATGAGGGTGCCCCGAAATACCGGGGAAGGCAGGGTTTCGCAGGGTAGCTGCCACGGGCGAAGATACACCCCCCTGTTTCACACATCATATAGTATGCATACACACACGCGGGACCACTTCATTCGGTGAAGTCACTCCTCTGTGTGCCGTCCTCCTCCACCACCTCGACAGCTCCCGCCCCCGGCGCAGGTGTTAATTATAACGCATAGAAAACACGCATAGTACGTTCACTAACAAACAGACGCACGCACGCATGTACGTGGATCGAGTTTCTGTAGCAATCATAGGATGGCTTGAATGGGTTGTCGACGATTGATGTAATATATATATTGGATGTCATGTGATTATTGGCGTTTGAGATGTGTGATGGTCATTCGAGATGAGATGTCTTTGCGATTATGTTATCGGTTATTTTGGTCCGGCAGCCGGTCCGGCGAGGATCGGAATCGGTCCGGAATCCTCATATAATCATCGGTTATTTTAGTTTTTAGAGGGCTGTCGTACGGTGTGCTGTGACTGTGGCGGTGTGGGTCTAAGCCACCGTCCGTTGCGAACTGCCAGGTTGGCGGTGCAGGAGTGCCGTACAAATAAGCTGGTCGTGAGACAGGCGGCGTAGTGTTTTGCACAGTGCTCAAGGGATACTGACGGTCCTCTGTAGGATTAGTCGCGTTTGGTTCCCACTAGTTCGTAGTAAGTATTCGTAGTAAGAGATGAGCCAGGCAGTGCCTGGAAATATACCCGCAGGGTGGCGGATGGACAGCAGACCGTGAAAACCCGGATCTGCTGTCCAACCTCATCCAGAGAGCCGGTAATCCACATTTCCACCGCCTCCACCGTGTCGCGGGTTGCCGCCGGCATTCACGTCGTCATTGCGGCGGCTGTCGTGACGGCTGTCGTGACGGGTGGATGTGCGGGAGAGATGCGTCCGTAACGGTGTGGAAGTTGCATCCGTCGATTGGGCTGTACAGGCTGGTGCAGGTCCTTTTCATTCCGCGTTTCGCCACGTCACGCGGTGTTTGTTGTAAAGCGCCTTCCTAAAGCTCCTGGGTGCTTGCCATGCCGCATCATCGTGCGTGCCAACCGTGCAGCTCAGGCTAGACACCGCCATAACACGTGTATTGGTTACCAAACGTATTACCATATTATTATTGGGACTATTGTACGCATCTGAGCCCTACCTGGCCCTACACACGCACTCCCGTCTGTAGCCGGCGGTGGCTGGTTGCCCCCATGGCCTTCTTATCGCCACCGATAAATTCTCTTGATGTTTTGTGCTTGGAGCCAATGCAAGCAACTTGACTTAGTCGCTGCCGATTGTCGCACTGTGCACACCACGTTTGCGCGTTACAAACGTGCGTTATGGATCATGCAGTCTTGTCTATACAAGACTTCTGCGTCGGCTGCTGTGATGGCACCAACTTCCGAGGCCATCTACGCCCTAATGCGAGGCATATTCCTTCTATCTGGGATCTGAATATGCCAAGAACGGAACCCTGAACAGAGCAGGCAGCATCATGCATGTGCGAGCTGCGCGATATCTCACGCGCACGCTCAGGACTGAGCATCAATCCGTGAGCCTTCTTCTGAGACAGCCTTTCCAATTATAGTACTAAGGCACCGCACAGCCAAGTGAAGCGTGAAGCGACATCTCTCCTCATTCCCAACCTGTGGCGGGAGACGTGTGGGGAAATAGCGGAAGCGGCCTGGTGTAGGATCCAGCGCCTTCTTTCTGGGTGCGCTTGTGTGCCATGCCGCTGTTGCCTCTGTGACATGCACAGTGCATCTGCCAAGAGCTTCTGAACGCGCGCCACTTCAGAATTCCAAGCGGTATGCCACGTCAAGGTATGACTCTGTGCTGCCACATCACCATGTATGGCATGTCCCTATCATGTTCGATGACAATCTACAATCGGCGAAGGGTAATGCAAAACCTGCTAAAGGCCACAAAACGTAAACCATCAAAGCGTCTTGTCCGTACAAATATCAAGGCACTTCACCATAAGCCACGCCTGGCCGAACAGGCACGCTACCTGCAGGCTGGAACCATACGTATGGGTCGGGTAATATGTGCGTCAGGCCTCTATCGCGTAGCACCGCCTCACGCAGTGTCTCTCATGTCACGACAGTCCTACTCCCACCACCATTGCGCGTATGAAGGACGCCAAGATATATAACTCTCCTTAAAGAGGGAATCTCTCTCGTCGCGAGGGCTCCCCTCCTGCCCCTCTCAAGTATGATGGGCATGAATTTTTCCACAGGCGCAAAAACAACGTACAACTGCTGAAACATTTGTTTCCAGCTCTTCCTAGAGCGCTGGCACCGTACAGTGTCAAGTGTCCAATGCTTAACCACAGGGCCACTGTAACTTGTGCACATTGTGAAGCTTCTCTAAAGTCGTTTCCGTCGCAAACAATTTACTGCCAAAAACCACACGCCTAACAAGAACACGTAACTGTATATAAGTCGTACATTACATGTTATGTATATATGACGAAACCCCCGCACAGCTGCGTTTCAACGCCGGACACGCCCCAATGACAGACAATGACCGAGTCTGCAATCAGGAATAATCAACACCGCATTATGCAGCGGCGATTGCGAAAAGTAAAAGCGCCTGTTGCCTCCGCCGCATCACAAAGCCGGACGAATCACTGACACAATTAAGTGCGGTTTCGCGGCTGGGGCCGACTCAGGAACGCGTCAGAAGGCAGTTAACTCACATTGCCACATCGCAGCGCACAGCCTCTCAGCATGTAGGCCAACCCACGAAACTGCAACATCCGCTGCCAAGCTTTCGCCCAAGACGTGGTGCCTGCCGATCGCGCGGCACTTGATCATTGGGCCAAGAACGCTGCGTCACAATCCTATCATGTTCACACTGTACAACACGTGATACTGTCCCAAAACAATACCCATTCCCCCAAAACTTAATGGCCATTGTTGCAGGCCTTCAAACTTCAGTCCCGCGGCTTGCTCCTTGCATGCAGGAGCTCACAGGCTGCAGTCACAAACGCCGTCCGTCAACAGCATATTGAGCTCTGAGAGCAGGGCTGACGTACTCGGCGTAACAACACCTGCAAAGATGTCCATCCCGCTGCTCTCCCTTGAAGCCGGCGTCCCCAAAGGAAGTTCCGCAAACTGCTGCTTGCGCTGCACGGAAAGTGCTGCTGCACCTGCAAGTGTCCCGCAGTGGTATCGGAACGAACAACCCCGGAGGGGAATCAACGACCAACCAAATGCCAAACGTCAACACCACATGTAGCACTAGTCATACCAAATCCTCCAGGATTTGATGCATGCGGCTGGTGGCTTAAATTGCTGCGACATCCCGAATTTGAGGCAGTCGGCGCGTGGCGTAGCCGCGGCTGCATCGACTGCCACGTACCAATGCCACGGTAGTTGAAAATGGTGCTGCCGTCACCGCAAGCCCCTATTTCCCAAACCTTCACTCGATGGGATCGAACCACACACCTGCTGCTGGGCTTACTACTGAAGCTAGCCCCGGCTGATAATGCCCAGCACCAATGCCCTGGAACGGTCCGTGCACCAGATAAGGTGACAGCGGCTGCTGCAATCCGGAGGGAACCGCACTGCAGGCCCGTGCGTCCATACCATCACCTGCACTTAAATTGTCCACATTGGCCGGTGTCAGGGCGTTGAGCTGCTGAGGCGAATGCACAGCAGCGCACCTGCAGTCGTGTTGGGGCAGACACGCCGATGGCAAATGAGCAACCGCAAAACACGCTACAATGAGACGTCGTGAAGCGAGACAAAGACAGAATTTAATACAGCGTCATTCCGCCCGCAATCTAACCTTGCCAACTCGAACGCATTCCTGCTTGCCTCCACTCTATCCAGTGTTACACCCCCATGGTGCACCGTTGCAGCAGACGCCGCCCGCGCTTGTATCTGCAGGTGATGTGATTCCGGCTGAGGCATCTCAGCTGCGTCCAGCTGCGTGCACTGCTGCGTGACCAGCATCGGCATTGCTCCGTAGCATGGGTCCCGATAGTCCGTGACGTGCGGTAGCACCTCCGGGTAGAGAACGTGCGCTGGATGGGGGGGGATTGTATAGCAGTATGGATACATTCTCCAGTAGCCCATGTTGGGGTCATGCATAGCGTAGGAGTACGCGTACGGGTCCATGTATGCTGGGTGACCGTACACAGAATCGTACCCCAAGTGCGTCATTGGATGGTGATGGTGGTGATGGTAGTGGGGATGAGGGTAAGCAGCTACTGGTGGAGCTGATACGGTGGCTGCTGGAGCTGGTACGGTTGCTGCTCCTCGGGTCGTGGCTGTTGCTAGGGGCATATCCTGTGGTTTCTCCTTTAAGCAGACGGCAGCCGTGGCGAAATGGAGTATCGGTTCTTGCCCGGTGATAACTGCGCGCTTCGGCTGCCCCTGCATGGTTGAGTCCAGCCCACACGGCGCTGCCGATGCTGCATGCCCAGTCGCAACGTCAAGGGGTGTCATTCCCACCTCCCTTGCTTCTGCCTGTTCCAGCTGACATGGAAAGTGGCCTCCCGGCACAGACGCCGCGGAGAATCGGACGTTAAGCGGCAGACCAGGGACCGAGCGCAGTTGTGGCAAAGCCATCGCCGGTGGCCGGGGTGGCTGGCCTGCGCCCTGCGCTGGGCTGCCCAGAGCATCTGACGAGCTGGACAGCAGGATGCTTGGCGGCAAGGCGGAGGAGGTGCAACCTCTGCATCCCGATGGTGGAAGGGCAGGTGGGCGAGAAGGGTGCTGCCGGATCGGCTGGATCGACACCGATGCAGGCTGCCACGAGCTCCCAGCTTGCTGCTGACTACCTGGCACCGGAGCATCAGACAAGCCGTGGAGCCAGACACCAGTGGCGCCACGTGAAGGACCCTGGACGGGCGGGCAGTTCGCTCCCCGGGGCGTGGATTGTACGGCGAAGAACGGCGGAGCCCTACCCGCCGCTGCGCTGTTGTTGCTTGCTGAATGTACAGCAGATCGCGTTGTGATGGTGCCGCTGACGCTGGTTTGGCCGGAACCTCTAGGAGTCGCCCCTGTGGAAATTGTGCGTGTTGAGTCGCCAACGAAGCCCTGCCCAATGCCGCCATTTGCAAGCGCCACACCCAATGTGTTTGTACCGGTCGCGAGGACGGAGAGGCATTCGGCAGCCCCGGGATCGCGCAGAAAGCCCACGTGCTCAAGGCTTTGGCTGCAAACCTGGGAGCCAGCGACGGTGTCCAATTCGGTCGAGGATCGGCGGAGCTTTGCTCCTCGGAAGGAAGCCCCATCCGCCCCAGGGTCATCCTGCCACGGGGAAACAATGAATGTCAGTCGTTAAGGCCGATCCAGTCTCCGAGACGTGTTTATCATGCACTTAAGCGAGACGAGCTCATCATGCATGCATACCATTTGGGTTAACCCCTGAACCTGTGCAGGATGGAGGGACAACATACGGGCATGGGAAAGCCGATTTACATATAGGTGCCCTAACGTTTTGCCTTATGGGGATGGCACGTGCACTGAAGTGTCGTTTGATAATTGCGGAGCTCTTGGTAAAAGAATTTAAATGTCGTTCTTGACTTAGGTATCTGTATTTGGGTATGTCGACGCCCTTACTGGGCTGCTTCGGGACAGAAAGGACGTACAGATGTAAACAGTACAGGTTACACGATACATACAACCAATTCCAGTACCGGGATCAACTTCTGGGCTTTAATATGTTGCTAATAACAGGTCTTCCTAGGTCCCTTGCCTGATGGGTGACGGAGGTTATGTTCCCGACGTATAAGGCTTGCTGCGGCGCGCCGTTGGCAAGGCAAGCAGGCCCCGTAGCATCACAATTGCTAGTTTTGGATGTTTCCTGCTTGAGATGCGGCCGCACGTGGTTGCGAAAAGAAACGATTGTTATTAGAGGTTTCCCATTACGGCGGCGCAGAGACGCAGCACAATAATCACACACCTTTCTCGCTGCCCGGTATTGCCGAAAATAACTTCGAACCTGTTCAAGAGATCGCAAGCATTTGCTGTGTGTCCTGACGGGCAAGCGGGACGTGACGTCAGATGTCAGCACAAACTGAGAGTAGAACGCAAGGTTGCATGCCAATTATATGTTTCCACTCACCTTGTCTCATCCCATGTCGGCTTCATGTCCCCCCAGCACTTGTCAGCTGCTTCGTCATACCACCTAAACAGTAGAAGCTCGGCCCATCGGTATGCGCCGGTCAAAGTCGCAGCAAACAAGCTATTGTCAATCGAAAATATTAGGATAGCTTGGGCTGAGATAAACGTCACGAGTAGCAACGCTTACTTGTTTGAGGTGACCTACACATTGCCAATTCAAGGCTCACAGAAACCTCTCACCTCTTCACCTCGATCACAGTAGGTCGCCGCCCTTCAGCTTCCCAAAACGTGCGATACCAGCAATTGAACTACAGGTGCAAAAGCCAGGTCAGGGTTGACCCACCGTACCTTTGTAGTGAAGACGGCTGTGCTTGGATCTCACCTGACACCAGAAGCCCATGCTGCGTCGAGCCAACTTTCCATCTTTGCTAACACATTTAGTAATGTTCAGGTCGGCGGTCAGGGCTGCCATAGGTTGCAGAGCAATTGTTCAAACAAACACCTCCTCCGGACCCAGTCGCGGTCAGAATCACAGTCAACGTCATAAGACCGCAGTCGTTGGCATGGTGGTGCCTATAGTTGTGTATGTTGCAAGGGTTGCGCAGCTGAGCGCCTTGAATTTACAGCTGTACGACTGGATCGTGGCCGCAGGCCGCTTTCCATGTATCACTTGAGTATATGCCTTTCAATTGTATCAAGGTCTTGACATATGAGAAGGGATATGTTTGGGCTTTGGTAGAACATTACTTTTATCTATCACATCCGTGGGAGTTGCCTCCGTCCACGGAGCGCTCGGGCAAAAAGATGCCATGTTGACTACGTCTTGGCTTCGAAGTTCGTCAATAAGGCGCATTCCGTTGCGGCTTCCCCTTGGACTTCGCTGCCTCGTAGCGCAGGCACACATATTCAGCTTTGCCGTTGAAGCCCAATTTTAATGCATTCCTATGTGGCTTCATGTACGCTTCAATAGCCGTACACAGCTTCGTTTTAACGACTACTGGACGCCCAGTAGTACTGGACGCCCACCGGATTACGACAGCGTCGGAAACGAAAGCGCCGGAATCAGAGTCTACCAACATCCGCGCACACACTGACATTGACCGTTGGACAAAAAGTTGTTACAACACAGTCCTGCTTTCATACCTATGGCGCCGACATCGTTTCTCTAGTACGCGTTGCCGTACAAATGGCGTTCTTACTGACGGGCTGAAGAGCAATGGCAAGTTCAAGGCAGGGTGCTTCGTCCCGCTTCCAGGTGCTGGGTGACAAAGGCATCTGCGTGCCATTTCCTGCCTTGGAGCAGTGGATCCTTCAGTAGGCTCGGATACGGTGGTTCCTGGTGGTTCTTATGGCGTGCTTCCCTGCTCCATGCAGGGCATGCCCCTGGGGAAGGACGGACAGTCCACTGTGTCTGTATGGCTGGTAATTAAATTGGCTGATGGTTCCCGTGTAACATTGCAAGGTGCTATCCTGGAAAAGCACTACGAACAAGGCAATATCCTAAAAAGGCACCTTGCTCCTCTAGCCAACTTAGGGTTCATGTTATGGGACTGACTGGGCTTATTAAGAGCTCTTAACTGTATCAGCTGCTGCTATGATCGTAATCCGGCAGCTTGCTGGTGGCCGAACCCCTACTAAACCCCGTGGACCAATGGCCGACCCACGGCCATCTGGGCCACCTGGTCGCACTGAATGGCCTGGTTGGTTCCTGCCAGTCCTTTTCCTTTTCCAACCACCGCGTTTCGGTTCGCCCGCTGCGGTGCTGATGCGGTTTCTGCAGTCGACGCAATAGTCTGCATTCCTTGCCATCCACCAGTTCACCGGACTTCACCACCTTACATTTGCACCCTCTTCTGCTTTGTGTTCTCCCTTTTGGCCATGTGTGATCTTCACTGGGTCCTTCTTTTCCGCGGTGGGTTAGCTCATGCAGGCGCTCATGCTTCCGAAGCACAGGAGCTCTGGCCTTGTAAAAGGAGCCCGCTGGTCGCTGGTGGCAACACAACTTGGAGCCAGTCTGTCCACTTGATGGCGGACCTGGGGAAAAAGCCCGAAATGAATTTTATATCAACATGAACATCAAAGATGTCTTCATTCTTGACACGTGCATGTGTGTTTCATCCGTTTTGGACTTGAATAGCCTAACAAGGCTCCCATGGGTTATAATGGATGCCTGTAAGCCTGATGGATGCATGGGAGCCATGCACCTAGGGCAACCCAAGGGTGCTGCACTGCTTATTTGGAGTTGGGGGAGCTGAGGGCACATTGAGGTCGAAGTAACTCATTGGCCCTGCCTGTCCGACCCCACCATTGCCTCTCGCGGTGATCGCGAACACTAGGATTATGGCCACCTATCAACGATACATTGTTACTCAGGCGGCTCAGCCCTGCTATTGCTGTGGCTGTACGGCTAGTGATTGACTTGGTTGTTGGTCCCAACTGTACGAATGCATCCACAAGATCACTACAAGTGAAGCCGTTTCGCTCTTCAGCCCGTACTTTCCTTAACAGTGGAACTTTGTGCTCTGCTTCACGTCAGTTATCTCCCCATACCATTCCTGCATTGCGCCCTCCTGGCTCACACTCCGGGATGCCCGAACTGCTCGGGCCCCACATCCCTGCCGTCCACACCGCCGCGGCCCCCATCTCGCCCTCTATGCGGCCCCTTCCACCCTACGCGAACACCATGGCGGCACGAAGGGGCGGCAAAAGGGCCTGGCAGATCTCCTGCAGCTGCTCCGCTGGGTGTGCTCTGCTCTGCTGAGATCCACCGACTCCCCTCAGCTCTTCGAGCACTACCTCCCCACGAGACGGCTGCTGACGCCCTCCCACGACTTGCTGCGTCCTTGGAACGGAAAGGATCTGTACGACAGCCTTACAGAAATCCACGATCTTACTGAAATCGTCTTTGCTCACAGAACGACATGTTGTTGTTCAGAATTCATATCCTACACACGTTCAGAGCGCGGTTTCATACCGTGGTGGGAGGGGGCAGTGCTGCCGGCCTGAGACAGACCTCACGTGTCTTCGGCACTGAACTAATCTACAACATAGGCACTCTGTGATTGTAATTATAGACAGAGCATCAAGAGCTAAGTGTTAAGACCAGCAAAGCGCCTGACCCCCTCGGGTCCTATTACTGCTGCTACGATTCTGTGGTATATGAATGTCGGACACTTACCAACACTAAGGACCATTCATTAATTAATGCAATAACACCAAAAAAAGTATTGGAGTGTAGAGGGCTTCTGATAAAGTTTAGGAAAGTTTAGGACTGAGCAATAAGTAACGAGGAGGCTACAAGAGAACAAGGTCCTCCCGACTGCAATGCTGAGTCAGGATCTTGTTGGGGTGTATCACCAAGCAGCATCAACGGAAATGCTTACAATCCTTAGGAGCTGATCTGGCCTTCATTGTGCACTGCATCGCTGTATCGTTTCAAGCACTAAATATATCTATCTCAAGCACTAAAACACGGCGGATGGGTTGCATGCATGCCGCCATATCCACTTTTGCACACATACGCATACGCACGCACACACATACACACACACACATACACACACCAGCTCCTGTACGGAACAGAAACGTTTCTGGGATCTCAGTCTGACTGCAAAAACCCTCTTTCAAAGGGCTGCCCCCCAACCAACAAAGTGTGCAGCTGTATTCGAGTTCGAGGCCTCAAGCAAAAAGCTGCACGTGGGGGCTGTTGATACAAAACGCTCCTGGCGCAAAGGAATCGCCACCTCACCATCTCGCTCTCGCGCTCCACCACATCAAGCACACCCCGACCTCCTCGGACACTACACGACAGCGGCACCTGCTGCAGCTGCACCACCTCAGTTGCTGCTTCCCGTCATTGGCAACAGCCCTACTGCCAGGGTGGGCCCCCGCAAGTGAGGAGGTCATTATAAAGCCAAGGACCTCACCAGCAGCAGCAGCAGCAGCAGCAGTAGCTCATGACATCAAAAGGGTGAATGCAACCCCTCCACAACGACGGCGGCGGCTCCGAGGACCGATTTGGCATTCTGTTCTTGGACCCACCATCACTCATTCTGTCCTCGTTCGCGCCCAAACTTCCCTACCCCTGACCCCTACCTCCACTTCCCAGCCCTCCCCCCCCCGTGTATTTGTGCACCGTCGCACCCAAAGTCCCGACCGACCCACCGACCCACCGGCACGGCAACACCCTCCGCTGCACCCGGAAAGGGTCTTTTGTTGCAACCCGCTTTGTCGTACAGCACGTCATCGCTTAGGAAGATACGGCTGGCTGCCTCCTGGCAGATGAGAGCCAGCGGGTGAGGGGGCCCCCTGGAGGAGGAACAAAGGACTGCCTCCCGCCCGCCTGCCTGTCTAGCGGGCGGTGGCGGACGGAGGTGCACACGGACCACTCGGGCCCCCGGTGAAGGCCACTTACCCCCCCACCACTACCCACCACCACCACCATCCCCCCCCCACACACAGCTACCCACCCACCTACCTGCCTACTCAGTTCAGTTCAGTTCGTACCCCCAACAGTCCCAACAGTTCCCCGCCGTGCAATGTAGCGCCCGCTGATCGAGATCGCCCCCAATACCTGAGGGGGCTTCAGGACAGAGCTCCCCTCCCCCCCTTAACTCCCAAACAACGCATTGCCTCTCGCCAGCAGGCAGGAAGGCACGCAGGCAGACCTACCACGTTTCACAGATGCAGGCGGAGAGGTTGTATGGGAGCTCCTGGGCAGTGCAGCAGCCCTCCCCCCTCCCTCTCCCCCCTTCCCCCCCTCGCCGTAGCGGTCTCACCTCACACTCCAGGACACCGTTGCAACCCTATGTAACATACATACATATGGACTGATATACATATTAATACATATTAATACATACTACAGTCCATATGTATATATGTACGTATACTGGTCGGAAACACCCCCACCCCACATGCTGATGTGACCAGACCTCCCCAGTGGTTTCGGGGCCCCTCCCCAGCCCCCTGCAGCAACGCCCCGCTCTCTCTGTCTGTCTCTGTCGCCCACTGAACCGGATCAGTGATCGTAGTCATGATCATCATCATGATGGTGATGGTGATGATGGTGATGCATGATGGTAAGTAATGGTAATGTTGTAAAGACTGTCGCGTAACCGTTTCCTCCCCTCCCTGCAACTCAATTATTCTATCACACTGCTCACTGGTCGTCGGAGTGCTTCTTTCCCTTTCGGCTCCGATGCAACATCCATCCATCCATCCATCCGTACGAGTGACGCTTATCGCCATCACGAGATCCCCCTCCCCCTCCACCCCCTCCCCCGGACCATAAAAAGGGGGTTGTAGGAAAGCAGGCAGGCAGGCAGGCAATGACCGCATCGAAATGCAACCTGCACCCACAACACAACATACAACGCAATACATCACAACACAACATACAGCGCAACACGAGAGGCTGGTGACCAACCAGCCGTGGGGGCCCCGGCATTCCCCCCAGCGGCAAGGAGGGAGCCACTAGTGCGGATACACACATCAGCCCTCCACAGGGAAGCGCCTCCAAGGAGATAAGGCCCCAGGGCTCCCAGCACGGCCCTCAAGAGAGCTGTACGGGATCCTGTACGTCAATATTAAATGGTGAACTCACCACCTCTTGCTTAATGCAGCTGCCGTACCATGACTATTATCACGTGTGTCAGCTGGGCCCCCCACACCTTGTGCAGACCAGCCGGTGCTGTACATGCACAGTACGAGCTTTATGACAAATGCTTGCGACAACAAGTGCTTGTCGTAAATCCACAGATACACCTCCCTCCCCACCCGGCCCACTGCCATGGGCTATATCTGCTACATACATACATACATACATACATACATACATACATACATACATACATACATACATACATACACACATTTTCAACCACCCACCCCGCCACTGCATTGTAGTGTGGCCGCTGCATCCGCCTCCAGGATCAATTATTACCACTATTACTATTACCACTACTATTATTATTATTATAATGATGATGATGATAATGATAATTGCTTTGTGTAACAAAGTGAATGTCTGTACGGATTCGAATACCGTACATAACAGCTTCCAAGTTAAAGTAAACATCCGTTCGTAGGTGATCGGACAAGAAACGGAAAGTAGATGCAATAAAGAGATGCAAGAAGCCCGCAACCAGGCAGGCACTCACCGACTTAACTAACCAACCGACAACCGCCGTACTGTTGCTAATGCTGATGCTGCCGAATCATTGCGACATGCGAGGGATGCCGTGGTGAGATACGGCGGTGGTACTGACGTACAGTTGGCCAATGTACGGGACCTCCGTACGCCTCCCCTCCCAACGCATGAGTGTGTGTGTGTGTGTGGTGGTGGGGGGGTTTGCATTGCGGATGCGAGTGGTATCTTCCGAAACCCATTCCCCACCACCACCATCACCTCCGGCCACCTCTGGGCAGGCGAATGAACAAAGGCCCTCCCCCCTCAACTCTCCCTCAACTGTGTCCGAACCCACAGATGCATACACACAGATGCATACACCACAGAGCACAGCGGACCCCCATCACAGGCCCCCACCACCACCAAGGCACAACACTACCGCCACCACAGTCAGGCAGCCAGATATCATATAGTACGATAGGACCACTGATAGAATACGGCAAATGCATACATACATACATATAGACAGACAAACCGCGGACCGCACGCATGCAATGTACAATGCGGTGGCAGTCCTCCCCCGTTTCCCCCTCCGGCCCCTCATCATCGCAACCATCATGCAAAACCCCACACGCATATGG